TTAGTCCATATATGTAAGGCTTCGGCTGTTAGTCGTTCTTTGTAAGAATTAAATCCTTTTTGAATGATTCTCGTGCCATTGAAATCAACTGTATGACCCGATTCAATTGAATGTAATGCTATCGCTGATCTGTTCTCAAGCTTTTTTACATCAGTTGAGGATTTAGGAATATGCTTTAAGCACAGTTTGTGTTCTTTCACCCTCACATTCAGTTGCCTTGATGTTTCACCTACATACGTTGCATTACAATCATTACATTTGATTTCATAAACACAATTTTGTTGATCATCCTTGTGTATTGGATCTTTGATTCTTACTAGTTTTGATCTTAGAGTATTGTTTGTTCGAAAGAATACTCTTATATTTTGACGAATTAAAATCCTTCTGATATCTTCTGAGATACCTTTACGATATGGGATCATCCAATCTTGCTTAACTCTTTTATTTTTAAAATATCATTCCGTTCTTCATTCTTAATTATTCTTTTAATAAAACCTTTCGGATAATTATTCATTAATAGAGTGGATACAACTAAATTCATTTCCATTTTTATATCATCTGGTTCAGTGACAAGTTTTTTGACTCTGGTGATCAAATTTTTGGCCACTGTCACTTTGGTCGCGTGTGGGTGCGCAGACTTAAAATCTAAAAATTTCCCTGAATATGTAGGCTTACGGAATATATTAATTTTTAAAAAATCATTATCCTTCCTTTCAACCAGGCAGTCTAGAAACGGTAATCTGCGTTCAGTCGATTCCAACTCTTTAGTAAACTTGATTTTGTCATCTAAGTTGTTGAACCGTTGGAATAGTTCGTCTAAACCATCTCGCTTTATGATGACAAAGGTATCATCTACGTATCTTACCCAAATTTTTGGTGGAATGGAACACACTGAGATAGCAATTGTTTCCAATGAATGCATGAATAAATTAGCCACAATTGGAGAGACAGGTGATCCCATAGCCACACCTTCTGTTTGTCTGTACAGAACTCCTCGAAAAATGAAAATCGTTGAATGTAAGCAAAGTTCCAACGCTCTAATAATGTCTGTTGGGTCTAGAAGGCAACACTGTTTAAGTTCAATGTCAGAATCTAACAGATTATATATTTGGTTATAAAAGTTATCTCTGTTTCAAAAATTCATTAACATTTGTTTTTAATTCTGGTGGTATAATTAGTGATAACGCACTATCAATGTTTGCTATACGTGAACGTAGGGATTCCAAGTTTAAAGTGAATTTATGTATACGTTCTCTAAGGAATACTCTAGTAGCTGTAATAGCTGCTTTTTGTGAACGTATAGAATTGTCTGGAGTCTTAACTCTTAGCGTTTTTGGATAAACATGCTGGTTTAAACAGCGTAGATTGAAAATTCGGTGGCTATACCAATTGTACATTTTCTTCGATAATTTTATGCGATTGCAGAATAATAAATAAGAACTTTCGTCTAAATTGTTACAGAATTGAAAGCCCAAACTAGGATCATCTTTATGGTTCTCCTTAAACAGTGTTGCCTTCTAGACCCAACAGACATTATTAGAGCGTTGGAACTTTGCTTACATTCAACGGTTTTCATTTTTCGAGGAGTTCTGTACAGACAAACAGAAGGTGTGGCTATGGGATCACCTGTCTCTCCAATTGTGGCTAATTTATTCATGCATTCATTGGAAACAATTGCTATCTCAGTGTGTTCCATTCCACCAAAAATTTGGGTAAGATACGTAGATGATACCTTTGTCATCATAAAGCGAGATGGTTTAGACGAACTATTCCAACGGTTCAACAACTTAGATGACAAAATCAAGTTTACTAAAGAGTTGGAATCGACTGAACGCAGATTACCGTTTCTAGACTGCCTGGTTGAAAGGAAGGATAATGATTTTTTAAAAATTAATATATTCCGTAAGCCTACATATTCAGGGAAATTTTTAGATTTTAAGTCTGCGCACCCACACGCGACCAAAGTGACAGTGGCCAAAAATTTGATCACCAGAGTCAAAAAACTTGTCACTGAACCAGATGATATAAAAATGGAAATGAATTTAGTTGTATCCACTCTATTAATGAATAATTATCCGAAAGGTTTTATTAAAAGAATAATTAAGAATGAAGAACGGAATGATATTTTAAAAATAAAAGAGTTAAGCAAGATTGGATGATCCCATATCGTAAAGGTATCTCAGAAGATATCAGAAGGATTTTAATTCGTCAAAATATAAGAGTATTCTTTCGAACAAACAATACTCTAAGATCAAAACTAGTAAGAATCAAAGATCCAATACACAAGGATGATCAACAAAATTGTGTTTATGAAATCAAATGTAATGATTGTAATGCAACGTATGTAGGTGAAACATCAAGGCAACTGAATGTGAGGGTGAAAGAACACAAACTGTGCTTAAAGCATATTCCTAAATCCTCAACTGATGTAAAAAAGCTTGAGAACAGATCAGCGATAGCATTACATTCAATTGAATCGGGTCATACAGTTGATTTCAATGGCACGAGAATCATTCAAAAAGGATTTAATTCTTACAAAGAACGACTAACAGCCGAAGCCTTACATATATGGACTAATTTAAACAATGTTAATAGGAGAGATGGAATACAACTAGCTGCCCCATGGCAACTAATAATTAATAAGTAAACCTGATCTCCTTTTTGCCATTTGATATATTTATGCCATAGTAACTAATTGATAGATAATACGTTCAATGATTCAAATCCGTTATCTTATCTGAATATGTTAAACAATTGACTGGAACATTTAAAAATAACACACTTCAATTACATATACATTCCTCGTTTATTTTGTTTACTTATCTTCATTTAATGCAGGCTGTGGCATTTTGATTCATTTCATACATAAAAATGATTTGTTTTCTTAATATACACAGACCGTAGTCAATATTAAGTTGAATGAAATTTCTTCCCACATCACTTGCATATAAACACTTTCTGTTATCTTAACAGGTTTTGGTTCCATAACACATACAAAACTCATGAGTTCAATCTGTGAAAATTTCTAAAAATCTCCACAAAACACATTCTGATAATAATAATCACCTGCTCACTAGTGACTGACTTCTGGAGTTCTAGTGAGAAGTCGTTACCAGTGGAGTTCAACCAGGTCTGTTGTGAGATAGGAACTCACTGAAGACAATTGTGTACGGTAGCGCAACTTCGTGGATTGGTTGAAGTTAGACATTAACACCGTTGGATGCCGGCTCAGTGGTCTAATGGTTAAGTGCTCGCGCGCGAAGCCAGTAGGTCCTGGGTTCGAGCCCCGGGTGGTGCGGGGTCGTGGATGCGCACTGCTGAGGAGTCCCATACTAGGACGAAACGGCCGTCCAGTGCTTTCAGGTTTTCAATGGTGGTCTAGCTTCAACTGACTCATGAGTTCAATCTGTGAAAACATACAAAACAATTTGTCATAACCTTGAATTTACCTTATAATCCTTAAGTCATTCTATGGCCTAGGATAACATGACAATTTCTTATTTTTTCTCTCCCCTTGATTATTTTCAAATGAACTTTTATTTTATTTGTTTGACCTTTATTATTTTTCATATAAACATGTCTCTTACACATTAATACAAATAAATACCTATCTATAAAGAAATCCTTCACGTCGATTTGATGACTTATTCAGTGTACAGTAAACCGAAGAACCATGTACCTATTTATATTCGATAATTTTGTTGTTTGATTATATTTTCCTTGAAAAAACTTGGACCAGATTGCCAGGCGAAACGTTGGATTTACTTAAAATTCATTCGCTGAGATTTTACAAATATATTCTTCTTTTTAATGTCTCAAATTAACTCGGCGCCCAAATATTGTGAAACTGTTCGTTCAAATTTAGACGAAAGTTCTTATTTAGCTATTAGAGTTAGTCTACAAGGGAACTAAAAAAAGTAATTGTTCTGCTAATCGTTACGACATATTTAAGGAACATTGCTGACTACAGTTTTCAAATAATATCCCAAAAAAATAAGCGTTAAATATGTTTAAAGCCAAATCACAAACAAGAATTTGAACGTTTATTATCCAAGAGATTTGTTGTATATGTTAAAAATTTATATAAAATAAATGCTTCGTTCTTTTTAGGATGTAAACAATTAAATATAGTTATATTTGAACTTTACGTTTACAACTATATGTCACAATATCAACACTAAAGTATACAATTTGTTGGTAATTAATTTTCACGTGTATGATATACAGTGTGCATAAACCAGGAGGGCAGCACATTACATTTGAAAGATTGATAAGAGCATTTTCTGTTATACATAACTCTGGTTAGGAATAGCTGAGAACAAGAATAGCAGTAGTCACATAAAAACTTGTAGGAATGTAGCCAATAATATTAGGTTCCTTATGAAATCAGTCAGAGTAGTATATCTCGGTCTCATCTTACTAGTCCTACTAAAAGGTGTACATAGTGCAATGTAGCATCTGCCTCTCAGTTATTCTTCTGAAACTTGATCATTTCCAGTTGAGAATATTTGACAGTTATCTTAGTTCAGCACTGTTTCTTGCAAATTTCTCATTTGCTACACATTACGGATCACAATCGACATCCATTGTGGGAGGAGTCGGTCGTAATCTAGTTATAAATGAAATGGTTTAGTAAGTACCTTGACCATAATATTCATTCATGATGTAACTAGTTTACCGCATTACAGATTTGTGTACTCCGGTTGGAATCAAATTTTCTATATAAAACCTAGTTATACTAACCGGCTGTCAAAATTGAAATAAGTGGAAGTGGATTAAAACATATGACCAAGTGGTTGAAAGATGAACCTTTAATCATAACTAAGCCATTGTTGTGATATAATTCACCAATAAAATAGTCTTTACTTTCCCCAAATTAATTATATCATAAAACTGAAGTAAGATTTCGCTAAAAGCATCACCGAATAGAAATACAATCAATATAATATAATAAGATACAATGTCATAGTTTCTTTACAGAAAATTGAAATATCACTTACAGCTGTAGCTAACATTTGTACACATTTAGATACACACTCTTGAACAGAATACAATTCAGTATTTAAAATTAAATCAGGATTTGTTGGATTTTCATAAATCGCAGAGATACCAGTAAAATTTTTTATTTGACCAGCACGTGCACGTTTATATAACCCTTTTACATCACGACGTTCACATACTTCAATTGGGGTAGCTAGAAAAACTTCAAAGAATGGTAGATTGTTTTGAGAGTGCAACATGCGAGCTGCATTTCTATCCTGAAGACAATGAATAAATTAAGTAGTTTAAGTGTAAGAATGAAAGAAAATGATGTAGAGTTCATTAAAATTGTCTATTAATGGATTGAATTTTATTATTAATTTACTCACATATCTACTTTATATTGATGTCTTTGGCTTTGATTTACAAGTTAATTACCATTACGGTTATTCAAAACGAAATACGTGGGGGCAGTTGAAATTCAAAACCTACTAGTTAAAAGTCGAATGGTTTAACCACAAACCAACTAACCAGCAGTTCCATGAAAATCATTTGTTCATCACATTTACTTGTTAGGAATTACTCTAAATAGATTCACCAATATTTAAAAATTAAGTAGTAATCCCAAGTTAATTTTCATCTATGAAGAATAGAAATAATCACCTCGTGAGCTTATTTATAATATGGGTGTAAAGTATTCTACTTGCTAATATAAGACAATCTTTATGAGGAATTTGTTTTTGAGAACTTGTGATATCTGTTGCTCGTTTTAAACAAGACTGCTTAAAAAGTTTTCACTAGTAAATACTTGACAAAATATGGGAATAAATATTCTACTCTTTATAAAGAATATCATTTTGATTAAAATTAGTTAGTGATTTTATCAACAAACGCTAGATGAGTATTGATATGAACGGTTTATATCAATTTCGTGATGATTGTCATTTATCAGGATAAATCAGAAATTGTTAAGGCCATTGTATAAAGAGCATTGCAATTGTAACGAATGTGACAAACTATTTATGTCTATTAATAAATTTTGTTAAATAAACCCTTAAGAAAACCTTAGTAATAATATATCGACAGTATGAAATGATATAATTAGGTAGTTCACACCATTTAAGCTAATTCATCTTAACTCATACAAACGTATAGTATATAGATGGAGGTTATCTGAAGTAACGATAACAATTACCCGTATCCATCAGAGATATCTACTGTTATTATTCATAATGTGGGCTCTGTTTATTTTCCATCTGATTGTCTGAATAAACTTAAGCAAATGGACTACATATTACTTGATGAAAAAATCGCAACAAATTCGGTTTTTCTTCTTGAACAACTTGATTGAAAATTTGTGTTAAGTATGTATTTTGCGTCTGTCAACTGTGAGATGATGAGTTGCAAAATTATCTGTACGATACGACTACGTTGAGATGATTGAAAAGAAATAAAATATCAGTTCACAAAGTTCCTGACTACTTGTTCGTGCTGTGTAGGTTAATTGAATGGAGATTCTTTAAATGCCATGAGGAATCAATAGTTCCACATTCAAAGTTAATCAGTCATCAACGTGAAAACTGAAACTGATGTAGATAGAAGTAGAGGTAGATATTTTCCTCTCAAACCTAAACACCCAATTATTCCTTATTCATTGGCCTTTTTGACTACTCAAATCCTTCTATTTCAGTGGATTTTCGTCAAGTGACATTGCAGCATGGGACTAAAACCTGCGCACATTTATATAAAATGCTTCGTAATCGTGTTAAATTATTATAGATAATTTAAAGGTGGCTTCTGAAGCAAAGCGTCCGGCGTCTACAGTTCAAATTTTTATGAAATAAAGTCTAGTATATCATACTGAAAGACTGTCATTAAAGTATTTCATAACATTATTGATCATATAAGTTAGGCAAATTTCTAATATAAGTTTGAAAACCTATATTATTAAACTACGTGTCTGAGGAAACAATCCATAGATAAATAAGGTCATTATAAGATTACAGTTACCTCACACGAAACAAACCATTTCTATTGTAAGATGATGTTCAAACTGAAGTCAGTCAGTCAGTTAGTTATAAAGCACACTAAAGTACAATACACGTTCATTTTACAATCTTAATGATCTATAAAACGAACAAAATTCTAAGTAAAAAACATCTGATATTATACTGTAAAGTTCACTTCTAGCAGGATAATTGCAATTTAGACCAAAATAATTGAAAAAGATGGAGCATTTTGTAAATTACAGTCAAATCAGTCAGTCAATAACAACGCAGAACTTCGTACGTACGTACATCAGTTCGAGTTTCCATACCACATTAGCACAGAGATGCAGTTGTCGATTCGAATCCCCTAGTGGTAGACGTAATAAGAGTATAAGCAATAATCCGAAAGATTAGGGTTTGAAGATATTATTTCGATTCACTGAAGATCTTATTACACTAATTATTTGTAGGTTATTAAATCTAGTCTCCATACAGTTTCTTTTACATACTTAAATATTCATTCATTCATAGTACCTAAAAAGCTCTATCAATAATATTATACGACAAAAGTAAAGTAATGCCATAGGTGTATTTGCTCCTAATCTTGTGTGCATAATAATTTGTTTCCCGTTTAGTTATGAAATATTCATATCGTTGATTCCTCTGCTAGCATCCCTTCTTCATTGGTCGATAAAATTCAAAAGCTACGTCGAATCCATAGCTGTTGAAGTTAGTCATTACGTAGTCCATCAAATAGTTAAAATCACTAGCCCCCGAATGCCCTGGTATGGCCAAGAATGGGATGGGTCCACCCTCCCTCTCGAAATGCTCTCACATGGCCACGTGTATACAGCCTCTGCCAGGGAAGTCCTACTCACTGCCTTCTCGTGATGAGGGTGTTGTTTACGAAAATGAGAGGAGAAAAAGCGAATGTCCGGCGCTTCAACCGGATTCCAAACCAATGGTGCACATGGGCTCCAGTATCCTGAGCGAACAAATGTCGTATGAACCAATCGTTGACCACCGGTTACCATGGGACTGCATCTCTTCACCATGCTCCATTGCCTTGCAGGTCAGACCTTTAGGTCAAACGCTTGGGGTGTGGCCCCCTAAGAAAACCACCTGCTTCGGTTTCAGCACCCGGACAGTATCACAGCCCACACACAAATAAAATGAAAATGACGACATTTACTGAAAATTCTGTGCATAATTCGATTAACAGTCAAACAATTTACATTATTACTATTATTTACTACATCATTTATTCACTCTCTTTTATTCCCACTTTATGTATCCTTATTTTTCGACTTATACAGCAGCTTGCCTATGGTGGAAACTCGGTTCCATCTAAACGTTCTCGAGTCACTGTCCGGTTGAAAATTGTATGCTACCACCAAATACGAATGCTGAAGCAGTTTTCTTGAAACCACGTGCACCATTCAAACTGGCTGCCTTCAACGTTCGCACACTAATTCAGGTCGGACAACAGATAGGGCTGGCTATGTCTTTAGGAAGTCTTAATATCGACGTTTGTTGTCTATCCGAGACCCGTATTCAAGACTCTGGTGAAGTACTACAAATTCGCTCTCCATCCGTCGCTTCAAAACGCTTGTTTTACGTGCGTTTATCCAGAGACCCTGTGGCATCTTCATCTGGTCTTGCTGGCGTTGGTGTCGCACTAAGCCCTAGAGCTGAGGCAGCATCAATCGATTGGATCCCCATTAACAGTCGGTTATGTGCCATCGATGACATTCTAAAAACAGCTCTGATGGATGTAAGTAATGCTGGTGTGGATCTATTGCTTGGAGAAAGACTTCTCGACCTTGAGTATGCGGACGTTGTCTTACTGTGCGATAATGCCCAAGCCATGCAATCCGCACTTAATTAGTTGGCAATCAGTGTCCGTAGGTATGGTATGTGCTTCGCACCTTCCAAGTGCAAAGTACTTCTACAAGACTGTTAGGATCCTAATCCTGTACTCACCCTGGATGGTGAGCAGATAGAAGTAGTCGAGAAGTTCGTGTATCTAGGTAGCTGCATAAGTGCTGGTGGTGGCGTAAGTGATGAGATCAATGCACGTATAATGAAAGCCAGAGCGGCTTATGCCAATTTGGGCCATCTTTTGCGCCTTCGTGATGTCAGTCTGGCTGTAAAGGGTCGGATCTACAATGCGTCGGTGAGCGCAGTTCTGCTCTATGCTTGTGAAGCCTGACCTCTCCAAGTTGGGGATGTTAGGCGACTCTGTGTTTGATCACCGCTGTCTCCGAAGGATTGCTGACATCCAGTGGCAACACCATGTTAGTGATGCAGAGGTTCGGCATCGTGTGTTCGGGCACAGAGATGATAATGCGATTGGTGTCACCGTCTTGAAACATCGACTTTGGTGGCTTGGACATGTTCTACGAACATCGTCATGGAAAATTCCACGTCGTGCATTATTTACCGACTCTGGGACTGGTTGGAAAAAGCGGAGAGGTGGTCAGTGTATGACATGGTGTCGTGGTATGAAAGAAAGCTGCACAGGACTGGCATCTGTTGGTCCTTCACTTCCTGGCTGGGGTCCGAGAGATGGTGCTACACAGTGGCTAGAGAAGTTATCAGATATGGCTCAGAATAGAAGCCAGTGGCGATCCTGCTGTAACCTTCTTTTACCTTCTTCATAAAAAGTGGTTGTAACTTCCTTAACTGAAAGAACTCTTTCTGGTTCTACCCTTCCGTTTCCCCCACTATTACTATTATTATCATTACTACACTACCTTACACTAAGCTGGTCGTTATTGTTTTTTTTTCTTTTACGCTCCTTACCTTCTTTTTTTTCTTCCCATTCTCATTGTTTGTGTGGCGCATATGTATTTGGTGCCCTCTTGTACCAATATTTGTGTTCAAATAAATAAATAAAAATAACTAGACAGAGACTTTGCCCAAAAAGTAGATAGCAACGATGAAAATAAATTTACTATTTCATTTCGAATCTTAAATTATGAGAGTACGAGTAATGAAAAAATAAATAAATAATCATACATCCTGAGGAATGGAAAAACTAAACTTACACTTTCAAACGGGCTAATGAAACTAGTTAGACAAATATTATTTGCATCAGCAAATAACCTAGCTACTTCACTGACACGTCGGATATTTTCCACACGATCTTCATCACTGAATCCTAAATTTTTATTTAAACCAGAGCGAATATTATCTCCGTCTAATACATAAGCTGATATGCCTCGATTAACCAGATGATGTTCTAGAGCAAATGCCAAAGTCGTTTTGCCAGCTCCACTGAGACCTATAGAAAAATGTTGAGATTAATAGTGAAAACTTTGAGCAAGAAAAAGTTTAGCAGTATTTTTTTATAATAGTGGAGTACATGACAATCATTTGAGTGAAATGACAAAATAAAATTCGTAGTAATGTAATTTACCTAGCTTAGTTTTCTGTGATGTGGTTAAGAAAATGAGCTTCTAACACTTAAATACACTAAATATTTGTAGTAATCAAATAAACTGAAAGTTCGTCCCATATTTGAAACTGTCACCCAGTCTCCTAGGGTTTCAGTAACTTCTACCTGAAGTTTGTGCTGATGGTGCTCCGGCGAGAAGTGAAAGCTTTTTAATTAAACAATCCAGTCTAGAGAACGAAACCACCCAAAAGTAGCAAGCCTTACTATTGATGGATTATCTGTAAATACGACGAGTGGGGAAGAAGAGGATAAGAAGTAGTTCAATTCATTTTCTTGAAATCGTAATAAGGGTTAATAGCTTCGTGAGCAAAAATATCAGACCCTGAAAATAAAATGATCTCAAACCATGAGAAAACAAATAATCAAATATTAGGGTTCACAACATCTTCTTTTATGGACACCATCAATCAATTATTCAACTCAGAAATCAAGTATGATGTACAGAAAACTACTAGTTGTAAATTCATCTCACATCATTTTGTAAGTAGTCGGCAACTCCATGTGCAGTTAATGTGCATATGTTCGATGTCATGCGACAATGAATTCATAACACGATTGATATGTGAACAGCTATATGACGATTTGTTAGATAGCTTTCAATTAAAAACCATGTCATTAAAATGTAAAAATACAGATTAACCAAAGTTATATAGAAGTCTATTCAACAGGAAATACCTGTAAACCACACCGTACAACCGTGGAACCAAGACTTGTTACTAACTGAACGCTGATCATGAGTAATATGTGAAGGCTGATGAGTTATATTTGTAGACATAGCTACAGGTTATTAAGAAACAAAAACTGTTTTTGTTAAAAGCATAATAAATAATAAAATTGTCAATAAACAAATTGCTTGTCCCACGAGGCACTAAAACAAAAGTTCCCGTAAAAAAGGAGGGTATTGATCAAAGTGAAACTGATAAAGTGAATTTCATGAGATCAGTCAACGAAATATCAATAAGTGCTAGAAAGCATCGTTTCAGTATGGAATTATATTCGATCTTCCCACAATACTATCTAGGACTAGTTTTGTGACAAGCATGGTAAAATATTATTTTCAAAGAATATGGAACTTCAGTATTGTAACTTCGAAGGTAAAGAATACTTTCACCTTCAAGCAACTTGAACCGACGCATATATGTGCCTGTTCCTACGTTGTAGCTTACTGACTGACTTCACCTTCAAGCCGATATTTCCACAACCAAAACTGAGTAATGTAATAGGTCTGAGTTACATGCAAAAACAAAAGACGTGACAACAGGAAATTCAACTTAATGTAGTGCAATAAATGGTTTTGCCCAAAACATATGAAGCGTTCACCTGGACTTCGACTACTAAAGAATTAAAATTTTCTTAAAGTTTTGAATCTTGATTTACATGCAGGGTTTCGTCAAGCAATATATATATATAAGTCAGTATTTGCAACAATATATACTCCTTAGTCCATGCTACAATATACTTTTCATGGTTATAATAAATATGGGGTGTTTTAGTCTCCGTAAAAATGCCGTATTGAAAGAAATTTCATAAAGATGGAAGTTAAGTGGCCTGTTGCTTTTCATTACATAATATAATCACTTGATAACATTGAGGTTGATGCTACAAAAACTTGGAAGCCATCACACATAATGTGATCATCTGGAATGGAACAGACATGGACATTAACCCACAATACAACTTCAAAAATACATGAAAAATCACGATATTCACGCTCACAACGTTACGTTTTATAACACGGCGTTATTTATTTTGAATAACCTGTGACTTATAATTAAACGCCAGGGTTTTCACTATTAATTGTACATGGTTGCATTCCACAGAAGGTTTGTCATTCAAAATCCAAATCCCCCAATTTTGGGAAAAATTTGACCCATTGTGGGGAAGCCGCCATAGTAAACTTTGGAGAAATTTTTGGGAAATGGCACAAAAACCCCAAAATTTCGCCAGAATCTTGCTACACTTTGAGGAAATCAAAATTAATAAAGCCCCAAAATTTCTCAGTCTTGGGGAAATTTCGCGTTTTTCCCCAAAATTTCCTCTGAATTTTGTGTTTTTCCCCAGAATTTCCCTGCCTGCGAATGGACAGTCAGGAATATGTTTTTACTATGCGAAGAAGCGGACAATATTACTTCATGTAAACGTGTACCATTAAATACACAGGAAGCATAACAAAGAGAATGAACCAACTTTTGATATAATGCAACAAATAGCTCCAACTATCTTATTGACTAAATTTAGTTTAAAGTGCATAAAACAAAGCTTTAAAAGAAGACTCGCCCAAGCTTCCGAACGTGACTCGTATTTATACAGCAGTTTGAAACGTCACTACAATCGAACCACTAAGCACGGTAAAAACGTAAGACTCACCCAAAACTGCCCGCCGTTTCGTTCCAACGACCTTGAATGGCCTAGAGTGTGATGGCCATTCCGTATTTGAGTTGCAATCAGTTGGTTAGGTGCCTGTTGTATTTAATGGTTTTCTGGTATCCTCACACTAAAACGGTCTTTTGCCGCGATAAAACCACAAAATCAACAAAAACAACCCTAGTTGACTTTTCTTACCACTGAAGGCGATAGTCTGGCTCGATTGTCGCTTAGTAACTTGATCCTGGAAACCAGTTGCTCTACAGAACCTCACCATAGTCGTTGAAAACCTTATCAAGTTCGTAAGATAACGTAATGTCCGACAAAATTCCATGACATAGATAAGAGGTACTACTGGAGACAAAATAATAAATAACGGGTGTGCAATTGAAATATATGACGACGGTTCTTCCTACTTGTTAGCCAACTTACTCCTTCTGAACACGAGAATGTTCTACCGTAACTAAAAAAGATAGGTTATGTCTACAAGTAATAAGAAACAGTGATTGGATATTAATATTTGACTGTGCAAGACTTCTGGAAGTAGATAGACGGTCCCAAAAATTAAGAGCAACGTACAGTCATAAAGAATGGTACTGTTCAAGTGCTTAAATGCAAAAGGAACTAACAAAAGGAATATGAACCAATTAGTGACAGCAGCAAATAAAAGTAATTTGAACAATCAAGCAACAAGTGCGCAAAAACTATGAGCTTCATGATCAGATAAATTTAATCGGTAAGTTTTTCTCCAGCTCAAAAAGCTTATTCTGTCGTGCAGCCTCTCAGGCAAGCCAAAACCACGGTTTCCCGATTACTAGGTCCTAATCGCACAACTGATAATGACGGTGACGCTGTAACAGCTTAGATTGATTGCTTAAGAGTTGACCTCAAAAAACTAGATATATATCAAGACAATAAAACTCAAGTATATATTTACTTCCCTATTTTTTATAGACATTAACATTCTTATTATCTTATATTGAATGTTGAAAAGCTTTGTGTGTTTGAGCAGGTTATCCCCCTCTCCCCTGTGACTGTGCCACGATCTAAATAAACGACTATTCACTGCTAGTCTCATTTCATCTATCAAAAGAACAACGGTTGCCTACAGGCACGAGAACGCTATTGCCCTTCTGACAGAGCAGTATATTACAACATTTCAACCGTCTCGTACAAACTAAATTGACAGGAAATCCACTTACAACGCAACAGAGCTCTTGAAAGACAACCTATATGCTGACTTGCAGTATCAGAAAGTGTTCCATCTAACCGAGGACACAAGGCCTGATTCGAATATAATCCATTGTGCTATACTGAGGGAAGCGTCTTCAATTTGAGTAAAAATGGCCTAGCATAATGTTGTTACATTAGCTAGGCTTAGGCAAGTTACCGGAAAATTGAAAACTGGTTCGCATCACACAAATTTTCAAGGGAGGTCGAAGCAGCTAGTCTTCAAGCTACCATCCAGCTGCACTTTTGTCGATACTTTCAAAAATTGTAGAATCCCTGATAAGCAACAGTCTATATGACTACCAACTATCCATAAGCTTCTTTTCACCCTAACAGCACGGTTTCAGGACAGGTCATCCTTGTATAGCCAACCCACTGGTCGCCGTGGACAGATAAACAACCATACTTGATCATATAGGGAAGGTTGATATCTCATACCTTGGATTCTTGAAAGCTTAAGATAGGGTCAGTCACATGTGCCTTATCAATAACCTCAAACAAGTAAGTATTATGTCACTGTTAATTGATTAGCCTATTCCATATCTAAAAGTTGACTTTTTAATGTCGGAGTAAACAACGCTTTTTCTCAGACTATTGACTGTCCTATTGGGGTTCAAAAGAGTTCAGTAAGAACATCTTTTCAGTATTTATATAAATGACCTCCCCCAGCAAGCAACGTCTCATTTATTAATTTTCTTTGACGATGTAAAATTATGGAGAGAAGTTTTGAACGAACATGAATAATAACAATATATACTCTCAGATAACAGTGTATTAAAAGAGGCATATCAGTTTATAGTCAAGTTCAAGTTGTTACAAATGCTTCATGCATTACTCTATTAAGTTACTCAATTATGTTGAACATTTACAGGACAAATGAGCAATCTGAACAGTAAATAAGGTTTCATACATTAGAATATTCGTGTTAGCATAACCCTATTGTCCAATGCTAAGAATGGCGTGTTTTGTAGTGGTTGGGTTGCAACAAGTAATTGGTGGTCTACTAGGACTGAAGCAGTCAGTCAAAGACGCCAACTTCAAAGTATTAGTTTGTGCTTTGCAACAGTGACCCCAGAGTGTTTCGGGATATATAAGTGACAGTAGAGGGTAAGGTCGTGTGTTGCGGAAATTTTTCGGTGGTACACAATGAGGGTGCTGAAAAAGAGAGGGAAAAGGGATGGACGAGAAACAGAACAGACAGAGATCATAACTAGTGGAGTATTGTCATTTGGGAAAGAAGAATTATGGCATGACGAATTTAATCAAGTCATGGAAAACAAGCCACAGTATAGCGATGAATGAACGGAGAACTATCTAACTGAATATAATTGAAAAGGAAGGTGAAAATTTAAGATTATGTGTAGCTTTAAAATGTAGTAAGGAAAATACAGTGTTCAAGTACCAACTGGCTTTTTTTCGTTAAATTTATTAAAACTCGTTTTTATTGTTGCAAATTTCAAACAGTCATAAGTGGACTCACATTTAGTGTAATTGTTCAATACTGCTTGCGGTAGGATTTCTCGGTAGGAAGTGAAACCAATTCAAAGTCACAGAAATCTATCAAAAAGTGTATGGCATACGAAAGTGACATCAAAACCATTAGTTTGTTACATTCCACTAGACCACAAGGATCCTTAATCAAACAAGATGTTCTGTTATACAGACATCATTATGTTTGCTGGGCGGTAACACAATGCATCTCTTGTTTTGGGATGTTATACTCTCTTATATTTTTGGTATGCATGAATATAGTTTTAATTCTAGTTTTATGTTCCTCACCTTGTTGAAATACAGTGCAACAACTTGTTGGATGTTATAAACGAATCATACGGCTTCAAAATGATCTGACTTGACTTCAGAGTTGTCTGGGTAACAATGGACTTAATTTCAACATCTCAAGTACAAATAAGCCCGTCCGAGACATTTTGAAAACTACACACACAACTTCAGCAACTACTCTCTAGAGGTATTTAAAGTTGAGAAGGATCAAGGGGTGTTGGTACCCTATAATCCGAAGTCTTACGCCGAGGCAAAAATACCTCTCGAGATAACCGTATAAATAGCACCCAAAATCATTGAAATTATACCCATAAGCGTATAATCTCGGAGATAATTCTTTAATGACCTGCATCATCCTAAACCCTCCTGAGCATCTCCATAAACACCTGCTTAAGCTCAATACTAGCACAAAAACTTAGGGGGGCACCTAGAAACTGGAGAAACGATATACCAGAACAGACTGTTGGCACACATTCCATTATATGAGAGCTCTAAAATTCGCCGTCAACTGAGGTCGTTCAATCGACTTCCGAAGAGTCCTTTAAGAGAACTTTTGACATATTCTTTGGGACTAAGGACGGTATTTCACTGTCGTTTGCTAGTATTTCTTCTCTTTTATCGTTAAATGTACCTAGGTTCCAACTTGTCGGCATCAGTGATCCAATGCTACTAGATACGGAAGAAGAGAATGGAAGGAAGTCTGAAAACATAAATGAAGTATGTAAAAATTCCATAGGCATGACAGCACATTACTTCCATAAACTTCCTGATAGTTTGTGATTTAAACTTGAGTTACACAGAAATATACAGAATAGTATTCAAAAGATAAGGAATCAACAAGCGAACTTTTCTGAACCTGATTCTAGAGTAAAGAAACCAGTGGCCACTTGCAATCTGTGTGCCGACGGGTTATTATAATTCAGACTTACCTTAATAAATTCACCTTTCAGCATTATATAAGGGACGGATCAGATTACTTCATCATGGAAATGGGTTATGGATATATTGTTTCCTGCTTTAGAATATGAAACCAGTGCCCAAGTACGTTACTGTCAAGTCCAGCAGCTATCTAAATGAGCAACTATGGTTATTCAGCAATAAGCCATAAGACTACCTCCGACAACGTATATCATTATACTCTTATGAAAGTTAAATACGTTGTTTCTGTTACGTAATAATCTATTGCTCAACATTCCAATTAGATAATTGCCTCAGAATGCTTCTGACAATACGTTTTGCCACACTTTAATTCCTGATCAATCCGCCCTTTTGTCTATTCTTTTTTCATTTCTGGCATATGACAGAATACCTCATGCTACATCACCAAGACAACAGCAGACCTCTAAGTTACGCCCAAAACGTGATTCAGTAAATAGTTTGTCCGCCAATCTCCAAAAGATTTGAAGGGAAGCTCATATAATGTTACCTAAATATAAATGAGGCTTGTTTGAATATACTACTGTGCTGTTGATCTATGGACTCTTGTGGAGCACATTTGAAGTCTTTTGGAAATGGGTTATGAAGTTCCTTTAACAGTAATGACTGTTTTTTGGCTGCTTGTTGGTTGTGGAGGACCTCTTATAGTCCCCAAAGGTCCTAACAGACCGTAAGAGATTTATTGTACACTGGTGAGACACTTTCAGGTTGATTCAATTGATGCTTGCAACCTCTTCAGTATTTTGCTACCTCTTGTAACTTGTTTTTGACTTTCATTCTCATTTATTTCAGTTGGCTGATGTCGTCCATGGCTCAAGTCAATCCTCTTTTTGGCCCGATATTGCATCGTGATACTATTCGCATTCTCCAACGTGAATGGGAGGTTAGTTTTGCCCTCCAAATCATATCCTTTTTAGCCAATTAGAGTGCTGTAAGATGCAACAGTAATCATCGAATATCTTTTGCCTGTTGCCAGCGTATTCCATTGAAGTTCCAATGCAACTACATGAAGCTCAGTTTTTTCCTATCAATTATGATCATCATATAGTTGTTCTCACAATCATCATTGTAA